ACAGAGAGACACAGAGACAGAGAGACAGAGAGACAGACAGAGAGACAGACAGAGAGACAGAGAGACAGGCAGACAGAGAGACAGACAGACAGACAGACAGACAGACAGACAGACGGACGGACGGACGGACGGACAGACGGACAGACAGACAGACAGACAGACAGAGCGATAGAGCGAGTGGGGTGGGGCGTGGGGCGGTGCGGAGTCGGACATAACGGCAGATAGACGAACGGACCGACACATCACCCATTCCCTCACAGCAACAACACAATCAGGCAAATTGATGGCAACAGGCCCGAGCGATATACTGTACCGTACTGGCGACGTTATCCCGGCGCCGCACCATCCCTCAATCCGAGATCGAAGCCCTGCGTTGATGCTCAAAGCCTCGAGCGTGCAGGACCTGAAACCTCTGATCCCCAATCTGCGTGGTTTTGAACTTAGGGCTCTCCAAACAATCCCAGCAGTTCTGGGTGTTATAACCCTAAGGCCCTATGGTTATATGGTGTCATCATCTGGCAATGAAATTAATCAAGAATCAGGGATCGGAGCCTCAATCCCAATCCTGGGGATTGAAAACCCCACGTCCTTGGTGTCCAGGCCGCAGAAGCCGGCAAAGAGGCCGGTGTCGATGGGTGCGGCCACTGCACTTCCATTGATGTACTTGCGTGAGAGGATGGCCGAGATAGGGCCTTGAATCGGATTGTTGCCAAGCGGACCAGGCACTTGTTTCGTTTGCTGCAGGCGTTTCGGCCTGTCAGCTCACTGATGGCGTTTGATAGTGTTTGTCCTTGCTTTCTTGGCTCACGGCTTTCAGCTTGCCATATAGGTGCTGTCTGCATGGCACTTAGGGCCCAAGACCTCGCTCCTAATACTCATCAGAACCAAACCGCAAGCCTTAAACCATGGTATTCCCACCCTCCACCCCTCTAGCATGGTCCTACTTGGAGGATCATGGGACTTAGTAAGTAAGGTTATAAGTCCCTTAATTGGGGCTATAAGTATAGTTACCTTAGTTATAACCCTACTTACTAAGTCCCATGATCCTTAAAGTACGTCCCTCCGCATGTCTCATTGCCGAAGCCGAGGCGCCACATTGAGGGTTCCCTCCGCTGGCCCGATACATGTTCAGAGCCGAGTACATGGGCCGCTGGGCCGCTGTGGGGACATCCGGACCTCTACAAGGTACCAGGGTTTGGGGTTAGGGATTCTAGGGGCGTTTCTTACAAGAGTTTAGGGTACCTTGAGGGTCGGATTGGGTCGGTGGTTTCCGGATTCCGGTTTGAGAGATCAGTGCTTCGGGGCCCAAGAGCTTTACGGCTGCTGGTGCCCTCGCAGACGTGCATTCAAATGCTGGAACACTTAGAAGGTCTCGCCTGGTCCTTGCATTTTTAAGCCCGAAGACTATGCCTTCCGATCCCTAGACGAAGAAGATAAGCCACTTGCGCAGTGCAGGCCGAGGCGCAGCTCGGATCGGCGAAGGGGGGATAGCCTGAGATCTACTTCTGCTGCAGCGGTCCGGTGAAAACTAGAAAGACCCGAAGGATTCCATACTATGTACAGTCAAGATGTTGTAAACCACGGCGTCACTGGTGTCTTCATTGTTTGTTGTTTTCTGCCGATGCTTGCGCTACCCACGGTCCATGTGGCATGGGCTGTCCCTACTTCACCAGAGCGATGTCTGACTTCCGTCGCTACCGCCTTCAGCAAACCCGAACATGATAAACTCTGCGGCCCACTACCAACTGCTCAACAAGCAAGCTGCCGAAAAGGTGTTGCTCCATCGCATCTGTGTAGATGTTGTTTTTCACATCCAATGGAATCCTCGAGACATGGAGCATGATGGGCTGTGATGCGCGTGCCCAGGGGCTTGGGAACCTAAAGCGAACACATGAGGACATAGATGGGATCTGAGCAGCTCTCATCCCGGGGTCTGGCGATCGATGCTCGAAACTGCCGGTGAACCAAAGGCAAAATGTGAAGTCCGCCGGGATTCGTCGGGCATACCCAAGGATCGAATCACACAGCCTTGCACACTTGTGTGGAAGCCTTCAGCTGCCTCCGACCGAGCTAAGCCCCAAGCCCAGAAGCACAAGAACATCCTTACCCGGCACCAGATCCCATCCCTTTCCCAAACCCAAGACGCTAGACCGTGAACCCTCCAATCGCTTTGAAAAAAGGCCCTGTGGCCAACAAACGTCCCAACGAAGCCCTCCGAGCGTCAAATGCAGTGCTTGGAGCATCCAGCCCTCATAGAGGTAGGGGGCATCGGGCCCCTTCGCGGGTTCCAGGGTAACCTCAGGATTCCCATGCTCGGGGCAGTAATCTTTTTCTAGGCTCTAGGGTGTCGGTTGGTAGAGACACATCGATTCTCCAGCTTCGGATGGGGCTGAGTCTGAGTGCTTATAGCGAAGCTCGGGCGCTGCTTCTGGCGGCACACATCTCAGTTTTACAAGCTCAAGCCATTGTTCTTTGAGCAATGGCAGCCGTCTCGGCCTTGCGCAGCTCTAAGTTTGCATGACTTGGAGGGTTCGAAGTTTATAAGGATTCGGATTGATTTCAAGAGGTTTCTTGGTACGCACAGCCAATCCTTGCGCAAAGGGGCGGTGTCTTGTTGCTCATCAGCACCCAAAGCACTCCGCCGCAAGACGCACGGGCAGGCGAAAACCTTGAAACCTGCCACAAATGAATCCCCGGCCCTTCGACAGCCCTGCGCACCCTACTCCCGCAAGGGAAGCCCGAAGATAACCTCATACCTGAACCTGCAAACCCAAAGACGACATGACAGTACAGCGCTGCAATCAACGGAACAAGCTGGAAGATAGTCCCCAAGGATCTGCCACCCAGCAACACCTAGGCCACAGTTTCCTTCACGTCGCGGATCTGCGGTAGAGCCGAAATTATGCACCTGGGCGACAAAAGAACCCTAAACCCTAACACTAAACCC